TTGTTTGGAAAATAGGCATTAGGTCTAGAAGTATCAAAGTTTTCTACATAGTACTATATGAAATGATGTGTGGAGAAGTTAACTTATGTATTCAGCAAACATTTGTAAGTGAAAACTATGAACCAAGCATGTTGCCAGAAGTTTGAATGAGCCAGGCAGGTAAACCTTCTGCTCTCATGAGCATATATTCAGTCTGTGAGAAAGAGAGACAATGACTGACTAGTCAGTGCAGTGCAGGCAAGATAGAATGTTTGTTTTTTTTTTTTTTTTTCCCTCTGGTACCGGGAACCGAACTCACGACCTTGTGCTTGCCAGGCAGGCACTTTTGCCGCTGAGCTAAATCCCCAGCCCCAAGATAGAATGTTCTGATAGTCAGTGTAAAACTTCCTGATAGGTTGGGCAGTGTCATCCCTAGTGCAAGATATGCAAAAGTGATTTGGATACCTCTCTCTAGTCTTCAGGAATTCCTGGAAATTCTCCAACACATATTTCTGTTCAGTGAACTTCTAACCCTTTTTTGATCATCAGCAGTTTATCCCTTTCCTCTCTGGCTGGCTTCTCTTATTAATTTCAAGCTTATTTTTTGTAGTGCTAGGGATTAAACTCAGTGCTTCACGCTAAGCAGGTGTTCCTCCTCTGAGCTATATCCCCAGTCTCAAAACCAAATTTTGATTTTTTTCCTTCTGCAAGCTATGAGTTTTGATGAAAAACCTCAGAATTTGGTATGAAGGGGGCGAGCTCAAAAGTCAGTTAAAAGCCAGCATGGTGGTGTGTATCTGTAACCCCAGCTCTCTGGGAAGCTGAGGCAGGAGGATTGTAAATTCAAGCCCAGTCTGGGCAAGTTAGAGAATTAGTGGGATCTGTCACAGAATAAAAACAAAGAAAATGGTCTGGAAGCGTAGCCCATTGTGAAGGTCCTGGATTCCCTAGTATAGGTCAACAAAGTCAGCTGACCCCTTGTAGGATCAAGGAGGAAAGGGCTTAGAAAGGTGGAATTTGAAACACACTGTCAACACCCTGTGAGTCCTGAGGATGGTCAAACCCAGACTATGTTCAAAAGGACCCTCCCTTAATTAAAAGCTTTTCAGTAGTTCTTATTTTGGCTTTTTGAACTAATGTAGCTTGAAATCCCTATCTTTGTTTAGCTGATTAACAAACTGATCAGATTAAACCCAATGGCAGGTTCTGAGGTTCTTAGATTTTCCTTTCATCACATCTTAGTTGCCTTGCTAAGTTTCAGGATCATTTTGACTGCAAAATGGGCTCTTTAATTAAATGAATGGGGTGTGAATCTGGGCCTGTACTTGGCTTTGGGCAGACCTTGGTCTTGCAAAGCACTTTCTGCATCTTTGATTGGAATAGAATAATCATAGGTAGTGAAATGTAACAGTGGTCATGTGTTCTAATGTCTGCAGGATTATTTATTAATGCAAATTGTTTAAAGATAAATCTAGGTGTGGAGAGGCAAAAATATAGCATTATAATAGTTTTTATTATGTTTATTCTTTTACTACTGATCTGAAAAGCAAAATGATCTGTTTTGAGTTCCTCTAGCACATTGCCATGAGGTTTAACCCCCTTTGCTTCTGGAGTTTTCTGATAAAAAAAATCAAGGCCATTCAAATGGCATGTGTGTTATTTGATGCACCACAAGGATATGTATTTCACTAACACTGGCTTCTATAAGCTGCACATCTGAACAAGTAATCTTTTTCATGGAGGGAAGACTGTATTTCATACATTATGGACCCTAACAATACAAATCCATTTGCTCACTATTATTGGTGCATGACTCATTGAAATGGATTTTTTTCTTTAAGGCTGCACTGTAAGTATACACATTGAAGATAGTCATAAATGCTTCTAAGACTTAATTAGTGGAACATTACAAACACACGGGAAATCCCCTTGTGGTAGTGTTCTCTATTATGCTGCTGTGCCTGACATGTTTCAGACATGGCTTCTCCACTTTAGAGAGAAACTGTGTGTAAGGTGGCTCTGTGAATTAGTAGAAACCTCTTAAGATTTACATGTTGATATAGAGACAGTAAAACTAACAGGTTTATCTGAATTAAAATATTGTCATTTTTGTTGTCTATTTTGCAAAACCCCATAAAGCAATGTAGTGGACAGAGCCCATGGGACAAGTCACTCTTACAACAGTATCGTAATTTCAGAGTATTTAATAGTCTTATGTGACACACGGGCCAAAGCTCTTGTGAGATGAGAAACAGCAGCAAAATCAGTTACTGTGATATGTTAGTGGGCAGTAGAAGTGAGGAAAATAGTTCTGGTTTTGTTGTTGGGAAATGCTGGGTTCAAGGCATAGATCTACACTGAATAGCTATGAGATCTTGGACTAGGAGTTTTGTTTGTTTGTTTGTTTTCCCCAATTCAACTTCTCTAATCTTCTGTTTCCTTACCCTAGATGTGGGTAATAATAGCTCTCATTAGTTGTGAAGACCAACTGGGACAGTGCAGGTAAAGCACACACGAATTGCTCAATAAAAGTGTGGTCTTGTGGCTGTCAACCTCTCATGTGCCTAACTGGTCCCCAGGAAAAGCATCTTCTTTGTAGATTTTCTTGCGGTATTCTTTCCAGTTAGGAATTTTCCTGCCTGAAGGTAAAAGCTGTGGAAGATATTAACCCATGTTTGTAGAGCACAGGGATCTTTTAGGAGCCGGGTATGATGACCAATATCTTGGCCAGGGGTGGGAAGACATGGTCTCTGGCCCACGGTTTGAAAGCAACTATGTGACTTTATACTCTCCGGACTTAGTGCCTCATTTCTCCAGTGCCAGGCAAGAGTAGGAATTTGTACACATTTGTTGCTAGATTAAGGAATTGATCCATAATATGAAGTGATTGGATGGAATGGTCAACCCCATCCTCTTTCAAGGCTTTTACTCCTAGTGGAGGGAATTCCTCAGTGAATGGACATTTGCTGTAACTACTATGTGGAGCTTCCAACTGACTGGCATGACGCGGGTACCAGTTTTGGGTGGTGGCATGCGTAGGGGAATGGTAATGGATAGGAAGTGGGTCCAAAGGGATCTAGAGCTTGTTTTGTTAGAGAATGCTGATAAAAGAACTAAGATACTTCAATAGGTCATCAACTCTGTGCTCTCTATTGTCTCTAAAGCGTGGGACTGCTGTATCTTCTCACAGCTCTTCAGCTAGGACGAAGTCCCATCAAACTCTGCTGTACCTGTTGTATTTCTTTGAATCTTTTGGCAGTGCTTTATTTTTCTCCTCAAGATTGACAGTGGTGTATTAACCCAATTTCAGAAAAGATCTTGGGCCAGGGCAAGTGTAGTGATGAGAGCGGAAGAGCAAAAGCATGGCTTGAGGAGAAAGGGATATTTATTTATCTGAAATAGGAAGGAAGGGAGCAAAGATACGGTTGGTGTGTGTGCGTGTGTGTGAGAGACAGATGCTAGGGTTGAAGGAGCATCTATGTCTCTGATGTAGGAGGTGAGGTTCTGTTCTGAGGGGAAAGGGGCTGTTTCAGGCTCTAGTTTGAGGAGACCTTACATGAATAGGGGTGATCTTGGGCCAGGGCAAGTGTAACACTGAAGCATTAAAGTGTCATTATCATTTCTCTGTCCTTTGGTAGAAGCTGCACTCTGGACCTAGGGCTTGGGAGACATGAACAATAGAGCCGCCTGCTTCAACCTTGTTCATTCAAACCTGTGTTCAGAATTCACTCGTGGGAACATTGTTTAAAAGTCAACCAGAGTTGACTGCTAAAAATTCTGGGTTTTGTGTACCAGCCAGCCTGTGAAGTGGGGACTTGCCCTGGGGTCTCAGGCTGCTTCTCACCTACTCAGCAGACTCTGGTATGAGTTGCTGAGGTCTCTGGTCTGCTGCCATTTTATAATCATCTCCATGTTGTCTGTTTTTGCTGGCCAAAGCATCAGGCCAGCTGGTGGTTTCTCTTTGGCAGCTGTTTTAAGAAAAGGATTTCTTTTGTGGGAACGATGGATTTTTTTCATCCATGTTTGAATAGATTTGGGATCTCTCTTCCAGCACTGAATTGTTTGTCTATTTTTTTTTTTAAAAAGTGAACAGAGATACAATTCTTGAACGCTCTGTACCTTCTGACTCTTAAGTCTACAGGTTCAAAGTCTTCACTTTGTATTCACTCTGTCACCATCTCTGAATATTTTATATTGGAATGTCATGTTGTTAGGCAGAGGATGATTTTAGAAGCATTATTTAATGTTTTCATTACTTTCATTTATGTCAGCATAAAATTTTAGATCAGCATAAAATAATACAATGCATGAATTACTAGGCATTAATTGTATGATGTTTTTTACATGAATACATTTATAAAATTTAATATAAATACTTAACCCTATTTTTCTTAGCTCCAGGAATAAAATAACTGGGTACCCTTGGGAGAATTACCTTGTTTTGAATGCTACTTCTTTTTTAAACAGAAAAGACAAACTTGATTATCTAATCATGTACTAAACAAAAAGAAGAAAATTAAAACAATGCAATAATACTGTATACTGATTTAGACCTTTTTATATATTTTGGGCTACAGTAGCGTATCTTGGTTATAAAATAAACTTATTAATCTATTTTTTATTAATTAAGTTTACTGGTACATTTTAGGTATACATAATGATTACATTCATCACAGGAAATTTGTAGCTGTACATGATAAATCTTACTTCTTTTTTTCCGTTCCCCTCTCCTCCCTTAACCTCTTCTCCCCTCCTTACTTACAAAAGTTTGTTTCCATTTTGTCTCTCTTTTCTTTTTTATTAATCTATTTCATAGCTTAAGCAAACATAAGCATGCATGCAAAAGGTGCTTATGAATGTTAAATGAAAAAGCAAGTTAAAATAATATGTATATTATGCTTCTCAAACTTAAAAAACAAAACACTAAGATATGTATATATATATATATATATATATAATATAGATGCACTTATATGTAAGTAGATGTTTTAAAATGATGGGAAGAAATACTGAGGTTTTAATTTAATTTTTATTGGCCCCCTTCTTGTATTTACTGTTTTCTGAATGGAGGTGACTCTTACTGGGGACAGAAGGGAGTATGTTCTCAGCTGCAGAGAGCCTGATGTATCTTGTACCTGAGAGGTGACTGCGGCCTTCGGATGCGGTTGAAATGCTGGACGTCACATTATTTTCCAGGGGAATATAATGATGCAAAATTAGGAGCCTGAAACAAGTGACCCCTATTTTCCCCTAAAAGAAACAAAACAAATGAACATAAATATTGTACATTAGTTTATTCCCAGTTGAGTCCTGGTTGGAATTTAATCAAAATGGGCTAGGCAATGGAATTTCCACATTATGACTATAAATTAACCTGTGGAAAGTGTACCTGATTTTAAGTCAAACGAATCACATTTACTATATTAACAGGTAATTTGCCATTCTTTTTTTGTTTTGTTTTGTTTTTTGGTACCAGGAATTGAACTTAGCACCTTGCGCTTGCCAGGCAGGCGCTTGTGCCGTTGAGGTATATCCCTGACCCTTAACAGGTAATTTGAATGAGGTGGTGGCTTAGGAAATAAAAATGGAAAGGTAGAAGGAAGAACTGAATGTGCAGCCCATGTGGCTCTGCATCTGACCCTCTCGTGTCCCTCACACATCCACATGTCTTGGGGTGTGTCACATTGTTGCAGAAGAGATGCCAAGCACTGAACAGATTCTGCTTTATTCTAGCAAAGATGTTTTATTGCAGCCTCGGAGCCAGTATGATCTGGTTCTCAGAGACTTAAAAATATGCCCACAATCTATAATTGGCCCCAAGCAATGCACATAGTGCACCACGGAGGCCAGGTCAGTTACCTGGCAAAATGGAATCCGAGCTAAATTCTGTAGTGCTGGTGTGTCCAGCGCTCTTGATAACTGCGCTCTTGATAACGCTCTAGTTACCAATGGAAAGTAAGTCTTTCAGGGCAGGGAGCCTTGCTGAAGTGGAGCCAGCCTCCTAAGAAGTACCTGGAAGACTTGTTTGGAGTATTCTCAAGTGCTCTGGGGTCCTCAGAGACTCACAGGCCTGGTCAGGGCCTCCCTGGGCCTCAGGGGAGGTTGTGAAGCAGGACTGTGCGCTGGTTTGGCCACTGGCAGACCTGGGCTATTGTGTGGGAAGAGGAGGTTCAGCTCCACAGCTCACCTCCCACGGCTGGGTGAGGAGGGGAATGCAGTTGTGGAGGTGAGTGCCGCACACACTCCCATCAGGCCACAGCCAGGGCAGAAGAAGCCAAAGTCAAGGGTCCTGTAAGCAGCCAGCATTGAGTTGAGGCATTGTGGGAGATGGGGTGAAGTCACGTGGTTTGCTGCAGCAAGCTGGGCTCAAGTTAAAGTCAAAGCACCTCTGGATTTCCAGAGGGAAGTGTTACCCACAAAGCACTGGACTTTTAGGACTTTTTCTTTGATGACTTCTGCATTTCTATTCAACAAATTATCGTTTACTATTGGGCTGTTTGCTAATGTAATGGGAAAAAGGGATGCTGTTCATTTAGTGACATGCAAGGAAAGGAATGGCTCAGTTTTCCCCCAGTCTCTAACTTTGCTGACAACTAACACAGTGAGACTGTCAGGTAGGGCCTGTGGACGGAAGGCCTCAACATTGGCCAGACTGGAGAATATGGCTGCCATAGAGATGTGAGTACCTCATCATCTTTATGTTTGGTGGCCTGACTGTGCGTGTTCCCCAGAATTCATTATGATGAACCTAGTCACCATATGGGAGTATTAAGAGATGGCATATTCTGGAGGTGATAAGTATGGCTATGCCATCATGAATGGGATTAGATGCCATCATAAAAGGGCTGATAGCAGGGAGGTGTTATGGTTGATACATTGTGTCAACTTGAGGAGTCTAGAGGTTTGGCTAGGTGACTCAGCAGGAAGCCAGGGTGCTTACTTTGTATACATCCTGAGCCTGTGGAAGAGGAGGGCATGGAGATTATGTGAGAGCTACACGCCCCTTAGGTGGGGGTAGCCTGTTTATAATGTAAGGCAGGGAAAGAAGCTGCTTGCTACCATTCCTCTCTTTTTGCTCTGGTTGTTTGCTGTTCAGCTGCCATTCCCCCCTTGCCCTTGTTGCTTTGCTACCTTCTGCCTCGGAGCCAGCCAAGTACGGACTGAAACCTCCACAAACTGTAAGCTAAATAAACCTTTCCTTCCTTCATTTTGGGTGTTGGGTATTTTGTCTCAGCAACGAGAGAAAAGTAACCAAGACAGGAAGTCAGCCTCTTTTTTGCCTTTAGCTTTTCAGCTTTCCACCACTTGAGGACATAGCAAGAAGGTACAATCCTGGAAGAAAAAGATCAGCTTTCATCAGGTACTGAATTTGCTGGAGTCTTGATCTTGGACTTCCTGGCTACCAGAACTGTAAGGAATAACTTTATGCTGTAAGGAATAAATTTATTTATAAATTACATGGAATCAGGTATTTTATTATAGCAACACAATCAGCCTAAGACATTAGAGTAAAGGACACAGGAGAAATAAACACTTTGTCTTGAAACAGTTCGTCTTGGAACTATGTTTATTTTCATTTGAAGAAGCTCTTTTGTCTCAAGAAAAGAAACACCAGTTTGGGTACCACTTTAGGGCTCAGGGTGGTGTCATCCTAGCATACAGAGAACCCTGCCCCAGCTGGGTGAAGTGGTGTACCTATAATACCAGGACTCTGGGAGGCTGAGGCAAGAGGATCACAAGTTCAATCTCAGCCTGGGCAACTCTGTGATTTGCCAAGGCCCTGTCTCAAAATTAAAAAGAAAAATGGTCTGGGGATGGAGCTCAGTGTGAAGGCCCCGGCTTCCATTTCTAGTACAGCAAACAAAACACAACACAAAACAAAACAAAAACCCAGAACTGAAAGCACAGGGTACGTTGAAACCAAATGGTCATTGAAACTAAGAAGAAAGGGTTTAATTAGAATCACAAGAATAAAACTGGAGAGTCACTAGCCAAAAAAACAAGAAAGGAAGAAAAAGTCAGAGATTCTGTGTGGGACTGTAGTACAGCTCTGGGAACTAAACAAACAGAGCAGATCGATCAGCAGATATCTGTAGGAAGTACGTTCCAACCTGTGGCCAGCAGGTTGGACATGCCTGTGTTATAACAAAAAATGTTTTAGACAGAAGAAGTTTTGCTTCTTATATGTATAAACTACATTATGTATTTTATATGCAGCCCAAGACACTTCTTCAGTCAGTGTGGCTCAGGCAAGTCGGGCTGTAGGCTGCAGATTGGGCACTCTTAGTAATTTACTTCATAGTCTGAGAAAATGGCTGAAGAAAATCAGGAAAGGGAATAGTGAGGAGTTGAGATAGAATAGGGAAGCATCAGTCAAAAGATCCCCAGGTTCATGAGCGGAGAAGGAGAGGGAGAGGGAAAGAGAGAGGAAAAGGGAGAGGGAGAGGGAGATAAAGAGGGGAAAGTGGGGAGGGGAAGGAAGAGGGGGAAAGGGAGGGAGAGGGGGAGGGACGGGGAGAGAGAGACTGCTACAGCTATTACGATAGGCTTGGTGTTTTAGATGAGACATTTCCTTAGTGAATATACCATTAGACAAGTTGACCAGGCTGGGCTTGAACTTGCAGTTCTTCTCCGTCAGTCTTCCAGAGTGCTGGGATTACAATGTGCCCCACCACTCCTGGCTCATATTTCTTTATCCTTTCATCTGATGAGGAGCTTGCAGACTGTTCAGTGTCAGATGCGGGAACCTCTTTCGCATGCTGACTTTGTTTCCTGTGGGTATGTACCAGACTACTGCCTCCCTTTATTATCCTGGATTTGCTTTGAGTTCCTTCAGTTCTGGAGACTTTTCAATTCTTTTACTAACATGTGGTTGATGGACAGCAACTTTGGCACCACCTCGGCACTCGTTAGACATACAGACTCTCAGGCCCCATCCCAGACCAGCTGAGTCGGAATCTGCGCTTGACAAGATTTCCACATATTTGAATATGTGTACATTCAAGTCTGAGAAGCGGTGTTCCACAAGAAGGTTATGTCAGACAGCAGGACAGAATTTGTCCTCTAGGTATAAAAGGTTTCTAATGAGTTACCCTCTCTTCCTCCTCATGCTATCAGCAGAGAAACAGATGAAGAAGCGGGTAGATGGAGAATAATGTAACATCATTTTCTTTTTTTTTTTTTTAATTCCAAGGATTGTTGCCCTGGAAGACCTGACAGGTGGAGTCAAGTATGCGTATTAACCCTCCCTTGAATTGCACGTAACCTGCCAAAGGGCAGACCCCTTTGGCAACTCTGCCCAATTAAGCTCTGCACATGGCCAGGGCATCTAACCAGACTGCGTGCTTTCTGTAAGCAGGCAAAGCCAAAGCAAAACAAGGGCAAAGCAGGGCACTGCATTCCTGTTTCTAACCCTACCAGCCAGTTCTGTGAGGGAAGTCAAGTATCCTAGTGCTCCACCTGGAAATTTTAAGTGTCCACTACAAAATGTCTCTGAGAGAATTTTTGTCCAAAGTCATGTTGGACAAAATTGTCTGCAACCAACCCAGGCGGCCCCAGAGTCGCTGTGACAAAGGATCTGCAACAACATCACGTGGGCTCTGGACCCTGTGCTACCCAGATCCTTCCTCCATCTTTTCGTAACACTGGCTCTATAGTCACCGAGCCTGGGGATCCCTGTCAGCCCAGGTGGTGGCCACATCTCCAGGGGCAACTCGGGAGTCAGGAGTCAACTGTTGAGCTGTACGTGTCTGAGAAGAGAGGGCTGCCTTTCGCCCAGATTGCCTTGGAGTCTTCCTTCAGTCCGTGGAGAAGCTGCTTTTCTTTCAAGCATAGGTTTCTCACCTCCTTTACATGAAAATGACCCAATTCAGACTGGTTGCCTTACTGCCCGACAGTGTGTTATTAGTGACATGTAAAACCAGGCACTGAACTCCGGTGTGTCTAGCATTGTCTAATCGTTTAATTGGCTGTAATGATTTTATTATCTGAGTTTTAAAATGGGACAATTGGCAATTTTTTCAGAGTGCCTCCTTGTTGATTACATATATAAAAGGGAGGAGGTATGTGGTATCTATATGCCCAGTAACTGCTTTTTCAAACCACATTCATTCCTCTTCATTTTATTTGAAAGTGTAGGGAGTTCAATATAGTTCAAGGAAAGCGTTGTGGTAAACAGCCAGATTAAATGTGAGCAGTGTAAAGAGCAGCCGCTTGCAGAAATATTGCTATAGACACTAAGACAGAACCCT